TAAGGCTCTTACACGATTAAAATCAAGTAAACTCCGAGTAAAAAGGCAAAAGAGCCACGCGCAGTTTTTTGGGCGCAAAGGTATATAATTTAAACCAAAAAATAAATTAAAAAATTAGAGAATTTCTTTAATTACATGATTCGCGAATGGCGGACGTTTCGGCCCTTTTTTTGGCCATCATCAGCGCAAATAGTACTAAATTAAACACTATAAACGGTATACATAAAAAATCTTAATCAATTAAAGCGCAAAGTTCTCATAATTGACTTTTGAGGAGGTGAAAGAGGATAAAATTTTGAGAAAGTTCCTCTATCACTTTCCTCTCTGGTCATTATTCACTGAGTTATTTAAAAATTAAGTCGATCAATCCCGTGCACGCTGCAGCGCAGCATTATTTGATCAAATTGATCGAAATCTTAAATCATAAATCAAAATTGATTTGTGAATTATACCGGCTTTAAATCACGAATCAAAGTTGATTTGTGAATTATACCGTCTTTAAACCACGAATCAAATTTAAATTATGAATTAAAGCCGGTGCAATTCACGAATCAAAATTGATTTGTGGATTAAAGCCTGTGTAATTCACGAATCAAATTTGAATTATGAATTAAAGCTTAGTATAATTAATAATTAAAAATTGATTTGATTTATGAATTTTTTAATTACCAGTTTCGTAACTCTGATAAAAACAAGAGTATTACACGATTATATACTACTCGTAAAAATCTCGTAAAAAACAAAAATTTTAAGTTTTTATTAAGATTGTTATATAAATATATCATATATATTTCACATTTGCTTACCATCTACACTATAAGTTTGTAAATCAATCTGGAAGAATTTGTGACATCCTATAATAAGAAGATTCGACGTAAATATGGCACAACTGCAAGGTTCCTGGGTTTCAAGCTCGCGAAGACCGACAAATTTTCCCGAATCTTCTTCGATTCTCCATTTAAATAATCTGCATCAATAACAATTTCTAAAAAATTGCATTATTACACACCTGTTAACTAATAAATGTTACGTACATTACATGAGACGCAGTCGCGGTGCACAGTATCTCGCCTTGTAATTGATACAGATGGCAACTATCGGAAGTAGATAATACGCTCTTTGTATTAATCGCTGGTTTAGAACAATCGGCGGCTAACGCGTTATTCTTCAATAGTCGCAAGTTGCAGTACACCAATTCTCTATATTCACCGGCTATCATTAAAGCCAGATCCAAGTGGTCATGTAAAGAAAGCTGATGTATTTGCTTGACCCCGCGTATAGTAGTGAGCGTTTGAGATTTAGAGGCGCAATATGAAAACAGGCCCTCTTTCGCGCCCAGCAAAAGTGCATTTTCCATACCCAAATCAACAACGCAGTTCAAATCCAACTAAAAATAAATGGAGTTAATAAAAAAAAAAAATAAAATAAATAAATAAATAAAATAAAAAATAAATAACAAGAATTTTTTTGTGTTTTACTTTGTAATGAATATGATATATTTATCATTCATCTCAACGCATTACTCACCTGATGTTTTTCTAATCTGAGCATAGTTTGATACTTTTTATATTTGGGTATAGCATATGAATTTTGACTGGTAGAAGGCTTTAGAACTTTAAGCCAATTTCTCTTATCAGCTTGACTCAGAGCCATAATGTCCATTCTAGACGAAGGCCAACAAGTCGTTGCGGAATTCGATTCGATTCTAAAGATAAACGGGATATCAGATTTTGCCGTTCCTGGTATATCAGGATGCTGTACCGTCTCGGAAACATTAAAACCATTGTTTTCCGTTAAATTTAAACGGCTGATCGGTATCATTCCTGCACATGGCTGATGTTCGTAGACGCACAAACATAATCCTTCCAATTTTAAATATTTTCTTTCCCAACAAGATTTCGATCTACCAGGTACTTTCACCCATCCTTCCATGGAATTTTCATTTTCGTTACACTTTGTTACACTTTGCGAATTCTATACATAACATATATATAAATAAATACACAATCCATTGTTAAAGTAATGAGAGAAATACTAGTAATAAAGTATGATTTATTACCACATCTTCCGGTTTGTCTGGTTGATCTATCGCCAATGTCTGGACACTATCTCCTATTGACGATAAACTCTCATTGCTGTCTCCAAGAACTTTGGGATAATAATTGGGAAAATCGTTCGGTAAACCACAAGTCACAGGTACAGACACTGCGCACTCCAAATGCGTCACGATTTGGCACTTGCTGCAGGTCGCAGCGCGTCTTCCAAATTGTATAGTCTTCGGACATGCCGCACATTTTCCTGCGCGCATAGGTAATCCTACATTGAATCTATGCGGATTGTTGTGTCCTATCCTTTGCGGAGATAATCGTCTGATAAATGATGAACTGCCAGATTCTGTGACATCTTTTATCCTCTTGCTTTCGCATTCTGTAGGTGCTGTAGGGGAGGTAGGTGCAGATGCAGAGATAGAAGTGCTTTTAGCTTTCTGAATTAATAATTGATCCGTCAATGTCTTCACCTTTGCTCGTTCTTTAGCTAGTTGATTCTCCAATTCACGATATCCTACAGGCATGCTTGTACCCACAGGAGGCATATTTTCCTTTTGCTTGCCGAGTATTTTGTCGCATATAGTCTTTTTCTTCTTATCACATTTATCCAATTTCCATTGCAAATAATCGATTAATTTAGTCTGCTGTTGCCGAGTACCTTCAGCTTTTACTTCTCTCTCCTGATAAAACTGTCTCATTTCTTCCAAGACGTTCTCCAATTCTACTATCCTCGATCTCAGTTCTTGACATTGATCTATGCTACTCTGTAGATCGGTCATAAGTCCAAAATTCGCTTCTTTCAATTCGTGCACTCTCGTCAAGTATTCACTGCTTTCCTCTTTCACGACTCTCGATTCTGCTTTAGCGGCTTCTAAAGCGCGACTCGTTTCTGAGAGATCGTACTCCATTTCACCACACTTTGTTGTCAACTCTTCTATTTGCGCACTAAGCTCTTGAGCGAGTTTCTTGTATTGTTCTGTCTGAGCGATAAGACTGTTTCTTTCGCTCTCTATGTCACTTGTCTCAGATTCTAATTGCTCGACATTACGTTCGGCAGCTAATCTTCGCGTCTTCTCTTCGTTTTGCGCGGTACGTGCCTCGCGTACTTTTGTTTCGGCGGCTTCCAGATCTTTTTGCAGTTTCATTTTATCCTGAATCAGCATATTCTCGCGCGTTTCGTGATCGCTCGTTAATCTCTCATAGTCCGTCAACTGTTCCTCCAAGACTGTACAAGTCTCTTTTAAGAGTTCAATATTTAATTCATAGCCTTTAATATCTTGCTCTAATTTGGCAACTTTAGACTCGAGTTCAGTCTTTTCTCCATTATGTTTAGCAACTATTTGCGTCAAACGTCTATTTTCAGCGTTCAAAGTATCGACTCGATCTTGATTCGATCGCATTTGCTTACGAACCGCGTCCAATTCTCTACGTAATGATGCGCTCGAAGATTGAAGTTCCTCGATTTGATGATTAGTTTGGGTCAAGGCCTGAAGAATATAAAAATATATGAAAAATAAAAATAAATAAAGAATACATATTTCTCTTTCTCATGAAAATTAGCTTCTATAGAAAAAAGAAAATAGAAAATGAGAAAAACATTAATTTATATTAGAAACATATAAGAAATTTTAATAAAATTTTCAATAATTTTTGGAAATAATATATACAATAAATAATTTTAAAATGTATAATAAATAATCTAATATTATATATGTATATATATATATACCCTTTGTGCTGAATCAGCCTGCATTTTATTCCTAGATGCTTCTTTTGTAATATTGTTCAATGACACTTTTGCAATGTCTAATTCATTCAATAGTTTTTTAAGATTTTCTTCTTCTTCCTTTGTTTTACTGCTTAATCTTTCTTGCAATTTCTGTTTATCTTCCTGCAATATTTTGATTCTATCCTCTGCTCTTTTATTTTCTCTCAGAGCTATTCGTTTATCTAAGTTAGCATCTGATAATTCCTTTTCCTTCTTCCATAGAGCCAATTGAGCTTGTTTCGCTGTTTGTTTTTCAGCTGTCATTTCTTCTCTTAAAGCTTGAAGTTGTTGTTCCAATTTTTCTACTTTCTCTTGCCGATGAACAATCTTTGTACTTGTGGTATCAGTAATTGCTGCACAAGTTGTAGCTTGTGCCTGATCTAATTCTTTAAGATTAGCATTTTCTGTTTCCAATTTTGTAACGCTATGTTCCAAACGTTTTAATAATTCCTCTAAATTGTAAACCTTACGCAATTGTTCTTCTGCAATTAAATAAGAAAACAGTATTAAAAAAAATTATTAAATTTAATTGTTTCTGTAAGATTGTTTACCTTCTTTGTTCAAGGAATCTTGTAATCTTTTTTGTAATGTAACTTTATCTTGCGCTGCTTGTTCTAAATTTAAAGCAAGTGCCTCGCTTTGCTCCAAATTCATCATAGTTTCATTTAGATCAGACCTAGTAACCTTTAACAAGCAATGATTTAAATGAAGAAAAATGTTATTGTACTAATTATTTATGAAATATTTGGATACTCACTTCCAATTGCTGCTTTAATTGCTCGTTTTCAAGATTCATTCTTTCCAATTGTTCTTGTAAACTTGTGAGTGTTTGTTCAGATGTTTTCAGATCGTCTATCTGTCTTGCTCTCTCTTGCAGTTGTTTACGTAAAGTTTGGATTTCAGCATCTCTTGCTGGTAACGTAGCTTGTATAGTACGCAATTGTTCTTGACAATCTTTTAATTCATTTTGAGCAAGTTCTAAGGCAACATTTAATCTTGACTCGCGACAGTGGTTCGAATCTTGCTCATTGCGTAACCTAGTTTCAAGATCTGTATTCTTTGCTGCTTCAAAATCTAATTTCGCTCGTAAATCGGCCAGCTGATTATGAGCACGCGCAGATATCTCCTCTAACTTAATTTCAACACCTTGAACGCTTTGTCTATTTAATTCTCGTGTTTTTGCTAAGGACTCCTTATATTGTGTCTAGAAATTACAATATTAGATATTTGAAATTTTGCATTAGTAATTGCTTTAATTTATCCCATTTATATTTTATTGAAATTACTAATATTATTTGATTGACAATTATATCATATTCATCCCATGTCATTACATTATGTTGTATACTATTACATTACTCACTTGAAACACACGCAATTTGTCCAATTCTGCATTTGCAGTTTGTAATTCGCACTCTGCTTTTTGTAGTTGCGAGCTTATTTCATTATTAGTTGTACACAGCGATGTAATTTTCACAGTTTGTGCTGCGATATGTTGATTTAATTGTGCAATTTTATCTTTTTCCGCATTTTCCCATTTACGTTTTGCTTCTCTTATTAATCCAAGCGCGTGAATCTCTAGCTCCTTTCTCTCTTGCCGTTCTAATTCTAACCCAAGAGATACATAAGTTTAGAATAATTGTGGACCATATGAGCTTTTTTCCACAAACATGAATTTAGTATTACATAAATTCTATATATATAATTAGATATAATTTAGATATAATTATTATAAAATTTTACCTAATGTCCGTTTAATGCCTGCCAGTTCTGATCGTGTAGCAATCAGTTCTTTCTCAAGTATATCTCTCTCCCTATTGGATGTTTGCAATCTTCGTGTTTTTTCTTCTAATTGAGATTCCATTTGAGAAAATTCTCTGACTTTATCCTGTAATTCATGTATTTTTCTTTGCATTTGTTTTTCTTGAAGTTCCTTCTTTTTCTCATCCAACTTTGTTTCCAGCTCCATCTTCTCCTTGGAGAATTTGTCCAACTGCTTAGGAAACTTATATTCAAAGTATGGTGATCCTTTCGACATAGCTTCTGTAGTTTCAGCTAAATAATAAAATTTTATATTTATCTTTCCTAGTTCTATTAATTCGTGATTTAATAATGTGTTTACCTTGAACGTTTTCAAATTGGGAAAAAGATTTCATGACATATTCCTCTTTGCCCTGCTCCTGCTGATGTAGATGGCGATAAGTAAATCACTGATATTAGATGTAACGAGATATTTACTATCCACACTCGACACATACGAAAAAAACTTTGTACTTTCGATCTACTGTAACTGTCAACAAGTACAAACGAATGCAATTTGATTTTCTCCCCTCATTATCGTTTCTAAATTACATGCTTACATTTGCGCGCGTTATTTGTAAAATGACAATATGTATTTCTTCACTCCAAGGTTTACGTTTCTATTTCTCATCATTTCTCGCGTCAACTTTGGGATACTTTGTACTTTGGTTTCGGATTGTAAATTATAACGGTCGCGAGTAGCTTCATACGTACGATTTGAATTTAATACATCGTTTGCAACATCAGAGTGCGCGATTTAAGCGATCGCGTTGACCTCTAGCGGCGATATTTGGCAAAACGGAATACTGTCGATATCGAATCAGTATAAATTCTACCTAACCTACGGTTGCAAAAATTAACTGCATTCATCGAATAAGGAAACATAATCGCAGCGTAAACACAAATTTTTAAAATATGCAGAGCGGAAGAAAATCGCATATCCAAAAAAAAAAGAAAATTTACGACGTTTATAGAAATTTTCGGATGATTGAATTACAGATGATGCAATATTCCAGCTAATGTTATTACATATGTCTACGTATTTCCGAGAAATGTAAAATATGTATATATATACCGGGTGAGGAAAAAGTATCGGACCGGTAAAATATCTCAAAAACAAGACATTTTAGAAAAAAATGTTATATATAAAAGTTGTACGGTTTTAACAAACGCATCAAATGCCGATACCCATTTGACTTTGATCTTGAACGCAATTATAAAGGAGATGTCAAGATCAACTTTAAACTCTTAAATGGAAACCCCTATTTTTTATTCGATATTCTTGTAGTATATCTTAAAAGCTTTTCAAAACACTATAATAAAGTTCTTTTCCATTAAGTATTTTCCGAATTATGAGGAAAGATACAGTTCCGCCAGCATTAGTATTATCCGAAAATGATTTTTACGTGACCTTAACAATGCTATTTAAAGACACACTAATATTGTTACTTAAGGCGCCACTTAAAACCCTACAACTTATATTTAAAATATTTTTCTCAAATCTCGAAAATAAAACATTTTTCTCAAAAATGCTACTTTTTCTTCACCCGGTATAAGGATGAATATAAATTCTATCTATACACTGTTTATACACGCCGTTTGCACATATAGTCGATTTTGTATTTAAATAGTTTTAATTTTCTTAACAAAATTGTGACTTGTGTAAATGAATCTCTTGCTCTTTTTTTTTTTTTATTATTATTAAAATCTCTTTATAATTATAAATCTGTCGAAATTCGCTTAAAGTTGAATATGAATACACAAAGTTTTTTGCCATTTATTTGAAACTTGTAATTGGTATCCATTTCATTAATTTTAATATGTGTGGTTTATAACACAAAAATTAAAAATTAAATTAATATCTTGATGAAGAAACTTCGAGATTTTAAAGAATTCATTTCGCAAGAGAATTTCCGCTTTTCAGGATACATTTGATATATTAAATTTTTCCAAGCATTCTAATTAAACCCATCACCATGTCCAGGATAGCGGAAGATTGATAAGAGATGCAAATATGAGAAAAGGTATTCAACGCAAATAAACGTGGCAAGAGAATATATTGTATTTTGTCCTTTTAATCATTACCATACGAACCGTTACTTACAAATCAAACTGTGATTGTGATTGTTTCTTCTGTATCTGTATCTCATGTTATGTGTATATGTAACTGCACATGAATATGTTCTCTTTATGAAATAACGTGTTTATCGTCTATTTAGCATTTCTCTTAGCGGTACCATTAACGTCTCATTAACGTTATTGATATTATTATTATTATTATTATTATACTTACTTTGATACAATAAGGCTCTATGTGGTAGTGTAAATAATATAATAATATATAACTTTAATTAAATACATGAGCATGATAAATTCAGCATTTATGAGCGCTGAGGCAATTTTATATATATATATATATCTTTTTCTGAGTTTAATTTTGTAAATCGCATTATGAATCCGCAAGTTTACGAGACGCTCTGTAAAATCGAACGCACTGATAAAAATACATTTGTAAATAACGCAGAATGAATTCATCACTAGGCTACAAACTTCCGAATTATGAGGAAAGATACAGTTCCGCCAGCATTAGTATTATCCGAAAATGATTTTTACGTGACCTTAACAATGCTATTTAAAGACACACTAATATTGTTACTTAAGGCGCCACTTAAAACCCTACAACTTATATTTAAAATATTTTTCTCAAATCTCGAAAATAAAACATTTTTCTCAAAAATGCTACTTTTTCTTCACCCGGTATAAGGATGAATATAAATTCTATCTATACACTGTTTATACACGCCGTTTGCACATATAGTCGATTTTGTATTTAAATAGTTTTAATTTTCTTAACAAAATTGTGACTTGTGTAAATGAATCTCTTGCTCTTTTTTTTTTTTTATTATTATTAAAATCTCTTTATAATTATAAATCTGTCGAAATTCGCTTAAAGTTGAATATGAATACACAAAGTTTTTTGCCATTTATTTGAAACTTGTAATTGGTATCCATTTCATTAATTTTAATATGTGTGGTTTATAACACAAAAATTAAAAATTAAATTAATATCTTGATGAAGAAACTTCGAGATTTTAAAGAATTCATTTCGCAAGAGAATTTCCGCTTTTCAGGATACATTTGATATATTAAATTTTTCCAAGCATTCTAATTAAACCCATCACCATGTCCAGGATAGCGGAAGATTGATAAGAGATGCAAATATGAGAAAAGGTATTCAACGCAAATAAACGTGGCAAGAGAATATATTGTATTTTGTCCTTTTAATCATTACCATACGAACCGTTACTTACAAATCAAACTGTGATTGTGATTGTTTCTTCTGTATCTGTATCTCATGTTATGTGTATATGTAACTGCACATGAATATGTTCTCTTTATGAAATAACGTGTTTATCGTCTATTTAGCATTTCTCTTAGCGGTACCATTAACGTCTCATTAACGTTATTGATATTATTATTATTATTATTATTATACTTACTTTGATACAATAAGGCTCTATGTGGTAGTGTAAATAATATAATAATATATAACTTTAATTAAATACATGAGCATGATAAATTCAGCATTTATGAGCGCTGAGGCAATTTTATATATATATATATATCTTTTTCTGAGTTTAATTTTGTAAATCGCATTATGAATCCGCAAGTTTACGAGACGCTCTGTAAAATCGAACGCACTGATAAAAATACATTTGTAAATAACGCAGAATGAATTCATCACTAGGCTACAAACTTCCCTTTTTTCTCTCTCTTGTGTGTGTATGTATATATGTATCATACGCACATACATACACATACATATATAATTATACATTATATTTATAAGCGCATAGCATATAATCGTCAAAATGCGTATATACAAAAATATATACAAATTCCTCCCAGTTTCATTTCACTTTTTAAGCCTCCTTTCTCTTTTTCCATTCTCAAAACGTACACTGGGCTTCTCAATATACAAATAATATGGCATCCATTACCTTGAAGAAACTTCTCTCATAAAGTTTTTAACGACTTAGAACGGTCGAGCTCTTATTTTGGATTTTTTTTTTTTCATTAAAGATTTCTTACCTCAAATACAATAAAAATATTACTTTTTATTTATACTGTGCATTATTAAAGAATTTCGTCGTTTAAAGTTTTTAGTTATCAAATTTTATATTGCTACTTTACTTTATATGTTTTAGATAATCTTATAATTTGCGACAAAATTCGGAATAGAATTCTATTTTTATATACTTGGCATCGCGACACTACCGCGTCGCTTGATATATAGTTTTTCTGTGTTGTATATTACAAAAAAGCATTTTAAAAAATACACACAGATGTACAAACTATACAATATGCACACATATATTAGAATAAGTGTCATATTAAGTTTTATAAACACCCTCTCTCTGTTACAAATTATAGATCACGTCTAAAGCGGAATTTGAAAAGGCTTTGACTGTCCAAAATAAACAATCATTATGATATCAAAGATGTCAACTTATTTTCCAAAATTTCTTTTCTCTATGAGTCTGATACAAATACCATTGTAATTGATCGCACAATTTGTTTAATGAGTAACTTGTGTTTTTTAGAATACTTGTTAGTATTAATTGCATCAATTATATGAATTGTCAATTATAAATTTCTTTTTTATAAAATAAATAAATATAGTAAAAGAATCAAGCGCAGAAAACTGCGTTGTCTTCAAAAAAGTTTAATTATATAATTAAAATTTGTTTTTTTTTTTGACATTTAAAACCTTTTAAAATGTTTTAAAACTTCTTTTTTTAGCTATGATGATGCAGAGGAAATCGACATCATAAGACAAAATCAGCTAACCAAGGCTATTGATGTGACTACTGTGTGTGCATAATTCTTGGAAAGATTATTTTCTATATAATGTCGTTAGCATCGGACATATCTTGGATCTAAAAACACATTCTAATCGTCGCTTTTATTCGCGAAAATAGCAGTGAGTATTTTCGATCGTCATAGCTTTCATTTAGATGCTTGTCTTTGATGCAATAACACGAGTATTACAGAATACAGACTGTTCAGGATTGCGTTCAAAAATCTATTGGTCAGAATAGAGTAACATTTGATTGACCAATCAGGAAAAAAAAGGCAAATATATGTTTGCTTCTTCTCTCTACTCTGCGACGAGAAGATTATTGAATGCAACTTAGCAAATCGTGGTACACTAATTAACGAAATTGATTAAAACCATTATAATTTTATCATCATCAGTATCAATAGAGTTAAATAAATCAGTATCAATATAATTAAATATGTTATGCACATTACACACTTTCATATTTCATAAAAAATCACTATTCTTTAAAAATTATATGCGATTTAAATAGAAATTATTTCATATTTACTTTTACCTATTTTTTCCTCTCACACGAGGAATTATCGTTAATTGTACCACGATAATCTATACCACATACCCTGTCTTATCGTCACAGTCACTTTTCCCGCGCGACGAATTCGATAATAAGGCACGTTGTCGATCGATTCGTATCCCTAGAATCGATAAGCGTGTAAAGGACACTTGGATACATTTCCACTGGATAAGAAGCTCAAAATCAGAAACTGAACGCAATTGTAAAACGGCATTACCGAGATCGGAACAAAATTCACCAGCCAATCTAGACGCAGCCTTTTCTTGTTAAACTTTCGATTCGCAGACCAGCTGCTCGGTGGGTCATGTGTTTCGACGCACAAAGGGAACAAATAATAATACAATACGCAATTATATTGCGGTCGCGACATGGACTCGGATGAGTCGGATAATTAACAATTAAATAATCTACCATGTATGGAGTACCGTTTAAATAATTTATGTTTTCGTATGTACATATCGCGCTTGCGCGTTTGCGTGCAATTTTCGCTACCGCATCTATCGAAAGGCTGTTTCTAGCACGCAGCATTGGCACACGCGTTGCGAATACAGCTGATACGACCGATCGTATCAGCAGCTCCGCGCACATTCGATAACGTTTGTCTCTTATTCCTTCGACGCGCGCATCCTTGCAATCTGCACATGGCACCTGGGATTCAGAATTAGGAAGCAGCGGTTTCCATTAATCAATTCTCTTCTTTTGCCTTTTCTTATCTTGCTACTTGAAACTTAAAAAGCAGATTTACGGCAATTGCAATTCACACAGGAGCCTAGAATATTTTTCGCGCAATCTGCCTCGGTTTTCACACCTCTACGCCGAGAACCCTGTCGACGACGTATTCGTATCTCTTTGCCGGCTCCCCGTTGCCTTCGTTCTTCTCGATGGGCTTGGATGGAGCCTCGCTCTCGCCGTTTTCCGAATTTTGTGCGCTCGATTCCGCCGCTGGCCGACCTTTAGCGTTTACAGGTTTGTCGGTATTTTTGATCACCGGGATCTCATCCTCATTAACATTCGTGATGACAATTCCGCTCGCATTCCGATCTGCGATGCCGCTGTTGTTCCTCGTGGCGGACGACGCGGTTGCGCCGGGAATGCTGTTCGGCCGTATCGTCGAATTTATAATACCGTGAGTGGTAGTAACGGGCTCCGACGCGTATCTTCTATGAGTGTGCGATGACGTAGGACACGTACTATCGGTTCCGAGATCTTCAGGTGGCAAAATAGGAACGTTCAAATTCACCCGCGTGAAGAAAGCCATCTTTTCTCTGAAAAAGAAAAAAATAGCGTTGCTTATTAAATATGATTTTTATGAATGTAATTTTTCCTCTTTCTCATACAGTCTTCGAAACAATTCGAGAAAAATCACAGAATTCTTATCGTAATTTATTTGAAGATTTAATCTTTTTTATTCTTAATTAACATGAATTAAAATGTCGGACTTGATTTCGGATATCATCCGGTTACTTTGGATATTACTTAAATGTTCGGATATTGAATTATATTATTTCGAAATAATAAAGAAACTAAAAAAATATGTACTAAATAACAATACAAAAAAACAGATTCTCTTTTTCTATTGGAATATAATAGAATCATAATGAAGAACAATATCGGAGTAAAACGAAATTTGTGTTATTTACTTGAAAGAAATGATGTCGGGCTTTCCCTTCCCAGCCTTCGTTTTCCTTAATTTGTAAATCTCTTTCGATGTTTTCTTCATCATCTTCTCCACTTTCTTCTCCTCGGCGTTTTTACCGTTTTTGCCATGTTCGGCTTGTACCATGAGGTTTTGGAATTTCTGATCTTCCAACAGCCACGTTGCCAGATCGGTATCACCTTTCTCGCGTGCCTGTTCCAATCGCTGCTTCAGTTCCCGTAACCTACTAAGCTCATCTTGGAGATTATTCAGTCTAGCGTGCTGCGCCTGCAGATCCAATTCAAGATCCAATGACGTTCTCATTGTGGGCGGCAAATGGGACGATTTCTTCGAAGTAGTTTTGTAACTAAGAGCGGATGATGGTCGACGCCATCGTAGGGAACGTCTTTCTACTGAATTTCGTTGGAAAGGTCCGCCTCTGCGATAAAGCGGCATACTGCTATCGCTGTCGCTACGATTAAGCTGTGCAAAGATAAGACATAAGAAAAAATTAAATAAATAAATAAATGAGATTAAATAAAAAGAGTCTACAAGATGCTAAAATTTCCATCTTAAAACATCATGATGTGATGAAAACAAGTAGAGTAATTTCTACAATTTTTCAATTCAAACAGTAATTTTACAACAGTTAAATTTTTTTTAAATTGCTATAAGATATATTAAATGTATTTATGTATGTGTGATATATGTATCTTTTTAACCATTTATTTACAGTTTACGAATGATGGAAGTTTTAAAGTGTCTTATAAAAAATAAAACTTAAAATATTTTTACGGCATTTTGTAGAAAAACAATTAAAAATAACAATAAAGATATAATAGCACAAATTATATATTTGTTTAAAACTTTAGTTAAAACTCACTCGGCAGATGTAATGATTTTTGCTGACGGCCGCGCTCGGTGAGAATGTCTGACTCCTCTTGATTACAATGGAGTTCTTGTCGTCGTGAATAGCGCCGGGCACAACGCCAGCTGCGGAGAGTTTCCTTTGCTTGCCCTGCTCCGGAATAAATACGCATTCGGTGTTTGTTTCCTTGTCTTGCGTTTGCCTCGTTTCCTCATTCAGTTCTTCATCTTCCTATTATATTACACCATAAATTTAACCATTAGAAATTCATTGAAAAAAATCTTATATCGGACAAAAAAGTGTAATAAAATTTAGAATCGATCTGTTGAGAGAAGTTTAAAGAAGACACGTTCGAACTTCAAGTTCGATACAGCTTCAAAACGAACGAAGTGTAAGCAATAAGTAAGTGTTGCTTACCTCGTGTTCCAAAACATCCTCCAGAATATTGTCCTCCATTACAAACTCCATGACAATGCCCTCTTCGTCGCTGCCCTCGCTTCCGCTTTCGCTATCACCGCCATCTTCATCCTCTTCTTCTGGGCTACCCAAACAATTGGCGAGCTCCTCGAGTCTCAACGTCACGGCTGTCTGTAGCTCGTCGCAACCTTGATTCCTCGTCAAGGTAGATGTCTGAGAACTAATTATCGTACTCTCGTCACTACTCTCTTCTTTCGTATTTTGTGCGCTTCTATACATCGAGATGTCTGATTCCTGTTTGTCGTGCTTCGTTTGCCTGATGACACTCGTGGTGGCGCTATTACTGGCGCTGGTACTGGGATTGGTTTCGGACGGTTGCATGAAGCGGAAGGAGAGTATATTATACCATTTCACGCTAGGAGATTCTGGACTGAAGTCTGCCAGCGAGACTTGTGCAGAACCCTGTAATCACATTAATGTCCAGCATGATTTAACCGTCTATTTCGAAAAACAAACATTAAACTTTATTAATTTTGTCTAAATGAAGAATAGAAGTGTTGATTCTCTAAATATGCCTCGAATTTAGAGTACACTCTGATCAGACGTAATAGAATATAAAATCTCGAAATAAAGCAAGAACTTACAAAATACGATAAGTTTGAGAAAGCTATAAACGCACCAAGCATTTTTCGGCTTCGGTGCACCAAAGTGTCACTTGCAGGGTCTTCGTGTACAACTTGTTGAGCGGTACGGCGATTGGAAACGTCTCGCCGAAAGTTGGTTTTCGTAGATCCACGACGGGTTTTGTGCAGCAACACATGTGACTGATGGGCAGTTGCATCGGCAGCAGAGCGACTTTGATGTATCTGAAATATGAAACAAAAGAGAAACGTCACTTTTGCGTGAAAAAGGCGGCTTAACAAAAACGGGGGCTATAGTTAAGCGAAAACGAATAAAATTCGCAAGAAGAATCACATCTTCCTCTCTATTCCTTTCTCTCTCTCTCTCTCTCTCTCTCTCTTTACTCTTCTCTTTCCATTTAGGGTTGGAAAATGTTGATTCACCATCATGTGAAAGATGGATCATTAATCAAACGCGCAACTATACATTAAACTCTCTCTCCTTCTCTCCATCCATCGAAGCGTTGTACTGCGTTTTGTGAATTTATGACCGATGGCCGGGCGCAATGGCTGCGGCAATAAATTCCCGAGTGGCCGTAAAGCTGATTGCAAAATCATCATGGTATCGCTGATAATAAGTGGATCCTTACATAACAAAGGTGAATGCGGTACTCGCTGGTCAATGATCTAAACATGAACGCGACAAGGATTTCATAATTATATTTTAATTTCATTTAAATATGTCAGTATCTGGGGGCTCTAGTATGATCGATCAAGTAACTAATTCGACGAGTAAACAAATGTCGAATGCATTTGCGTAACTATTAGCAGGTTGACCCAACATTGCACATCAAGTTATCTAATCGGTTATCTTTGAAAGCGAGACACCATTCGCAGATATAATTCGACCTATCGGTAATACTTGTGTATGTTAAACTGTACGTAATGTTGACTAATCGGAAATGTAAATATCCGTCTTGAACTTTTTGAGGAATAGAAATTGAAATAAACAGTGCGACCATTAACTATTACGATAAAGTGTGAAACATTGCTTAGAATATATCGCTTGAAAATAATTAAAAAAGTCTCGTTGATACTTACACTTGCGCGTTATTGGGTATGAAAAGCGCTGCTAGATTTCTCGCGCGTTCGATGCCAACATGAAGCAATCCATCGCTCACCGAATACCTAAATGCATAACATTATAAATTTTAATTTGTTCCAATATTCAAATTATCACAAGGATGCATACAAAATATAATTTGCAATATAAAAACATGTATAAAAAGTCATAAATGCTATACATATATTATCGAACGATGATTTGAAAATATATTATATCAAAGTCTTTTTTTGTACTTGCTTTGTTTATAGCATATACATATAATTACTTCTTTTTACATAACGTTTTTAACATATACATACAATTTTATTATTCATAATATAACACATTTATAACTATATGCAAAAAAAATTTTATTTTCTACAAAACAAATGTATTTTTTAACACACATTTGATATTTCTAAATACGTAACATTTTTTATTTGCCCGTGATATTTATAAAAAGAATGAACGTGCAATGAAACAAACGTACCTCAGTTTGATCTGCACCTGCGCCGTTTCCAAGCTCATCTCGCCGGAAGCCAACGGATCCACGTCGGAGATGAGACCGGACAGTCTTTTCCGATTAGATGCCTCGAAAACGCCCGAATCGCCAGCGACACTCTCGTCGGAGACTGCGGCGGAAACGGATCTGGTGTTGGTGCCAGAACTGCTGGCCCTTGATCTAATCCCAGTGGGCGGCGGCGTCTCGCTGATCGGCGACAATGGGGGTAGCTCTTGAGGTGGTGGCGGCGCTTGTTGCAGCTGCAGCAATTGTACACTGGACGCGCCAGGCCTGCCTAGGCCACTGCCCTGTGACATGTTGCACGACTGCAATTCGATGGGCGGATGCGGACCAACCACAAGCTTCAGGCGATCCTGCGAATTGGAGGTGCACGATTGCTCCTGCTGTTGCGGTACTCCCTGCTGTTGACCGAATCTGAGTTCCGTCAAACGGTCTTCTAGTTGATTCCCGTCGAGATGCGACGCGGTTGCACCGCCACTAGCCGTCACTACCGTCGTCGTCACTGCCACGGGTCCCACTCTCTGATGCTGCCTCCTCTGCAGTTCCACTTGTTCGTAGGCAGGCGGTGGACCCATCGGTGCGTTCTCGTATAACGGCGACACCGGCGGGCTCACACTCGACAGACTTGATCTCGGCGAAAGACTGGGCTGAGATCTACCGGGCGAGGGTGTGCCTACGAGATTGTTCTGTTCGGAGCCACGCAACAATCTCTCGACGCGCCTGTGCAGATCCACCATATCGACCGGTCGTTCCTGCTGCGAACTGGTAGATCCCAGACACTGTGGACCGCCGTAGATGTCCGTGAAGCTTAGCCCGGAGCTGAGGGAACCCTTGCTGCTAGTCGTACTGAGACTACCGAGGCTGGAGCTGCTGCTCACCGATAATGTGCTAGCGCTCAGTGTCTTCAGCTGGCCCTCTAACATCGCCATTGATCGCAGAGCGTCCCTGAGTTGCTGCAGCAACAGCTGCTTCTCCTCGTGGAGCCGCACGCGATCGGTTATGGTTTTGTTCGATAGTTCAAACGCGGTGTTGAGATCCTGCTCAAGCCTGCGAATCTCGCACTGGATCTTTTTCATATCCTGCTGCGTCCTCGTGCGCGGTGTGATACTCCGCAATTCTCGCAACAGCTGCTCTTTCTCCTGGAATAGTAGCAGCTTGTCCTTGTCGCTCTCGGTTTGACCTGGCGTCACCTTCTCCTCGAGATCCGCCAACTGCTGTTGAATGTGCTGGATCCGCTTTCTCGCCTCATCGTACTGCAATCTCATGCGCGCCATTTCGGCCAATCGGGTCCCGATCGGCACCAGTTCACCCGAGAGATCGGTCTGGGAAGCCGTGCTAAGTTTCTCTTGCGGCAAACTAAGCGTGCTAGCTTCTGGACTACCCTCACACAATTGCAGCCTTGTCAGTTCATCTTTGAGCTGCGCCAGCGACTGCATCAGTTCGGCCTTCTCTTTCTCTCCGGAACTCAAGGACTTCTGGATATTACGGAGCTCGGTCATGATGGCTTGCGCTTCCGTGATATTGTAGCATCCACCATGATGGCCGCTCAATTTTTGCTCCACACTGTAAAAGAAAACAATCGGCAAGAGTTAGAGTTATTCATATTATAAATAATTAGGCATATATATATATAGTTGTTGATAAAAAAAACATCTTATAATCCGGAGAATACTGATATTTTCGAGTTTTTGAATTTACATGAAACAGTATTATTTGTTATCAAAAAAAGTTAAATTTGTTAAATAAAATAATATAAAAACTTGGTTGGTCGCCGATTAAGGTTTACACATGTTATACCTGGCGAGAGTATCCACTCCTCGTTGCGTGCAGTTCATCTCCGCTCGAATCTGCTCGAGTTCTCGTTTTAATCGAGAAACTCGGCTTCTGGCGAGTGCCACGTCGGACTTGAGCAGGTCAGGGTCGTATTTGGTACTCAAGGAACTCGAGCTGGAACATACTGTGAACCACGAAATATTCGTCAATACTTTTTCGCACAATTTGCCTACATATATTTATATTGCAATCTATTTAGACTAGATATTTAATCGTGTATTAAAAAAATACGAGATTAATAGAAACTGTCGCTTATCATAGGTTTCTGAATTCATAATCTATAAAACTTCGTTTTAGTAAATTATTAAATAGCGACATATGATCGATGAAATATGGTTGCACGGATGGCTACACGTAATGTAAGCACGGCTTATTAAAGTTATTAATTAATTCAGAAAAAAATTATTAAACTTGTGTTTTCATTAAAAAATAATTAAAATTGTAGAAAAAAAAATTTATTTTTTAAATTACTCACAACTTGTACGTGATGCGCCAAGGGTGGATAAAGCATTATTGAGGTGATTGTACTCATCCTGCGCCAGACAGAGCCTTTGCTGTTTTACGTCATAGATCTCCTTCTTCGCCTATAACACAAGAGTTTTATGATCTTTTTAAAACAACTGTCATCGACTGGTTTTCGCATGTATCTCTATTATATAACATAACACACTCCTATTGATCCTAAGCGGCAAAACATTACTTCTTGACATAATGTTTTAAGACAAATTAAGTAGGCGCCTTAAAGAAATAATAATCGCAAAGGAAATAATCTCTTACAATTGTGTAATTTTTTAAGATGATGATTATTTAAGTTTTAAAAATTTGTGCGTGTTTGTACTGCACAAACAGTTGATTTTAAATTATTTATTTATTTATTGATCATGTGCACATTGTGTACGCTAAAGTATTAAATATTAAATGAAAAATATATATGTGTATTACATTTAAAAATTGAACAGAATCTTTGCCAAGAAAGTGAAATTATAAAAAAAAAAAAAAAAAAAAATATTTTTTTCTAATATAAAAGCTTTCAAGAATTCTTCCGAATGATCGTCGAAAAAGGTCTTTGCTTTAGAATAAAATAAATATGACTTTTATCATTGTATTTGATAAAACTATGGAAAACATGGTTAACGATTTCAGTTTAGATCAGCAGTTTCAGGATTATTTATCTGATATCACTGTATTATTCCAATATCCGGAAGAACCGCACGATTTCACCATATCCACACAATCGCGTTCGGCCGCGAAAAAAATATTTATGATTAGCTTCAACGCTTTAGCGATAAAATTTTGCAAAGCATCTCCCTTAAAAGGTAGAAACGTTGCATGTTCACCCACGGAGATACGACTCGCACTTCCATGTTAAAGCGAAGAAAGAACGCGATATTTAATAGAAGAATACTTTGAAATATATAATTTTTTCCCAAGTGGATTTCTTACATATTCGCAATAATAATACGCCGTTGCGTCAGCGTCGTCGCGCTTGTAACACTGTTCCCAGTAGAATTTCTGTATCTGCTCATCGTTTTCGTAGTCGTTGTGATAGCACATCCTCATGCGATACTGCGACACGACGTTCTCATAGATCTGCTCTTGCTGCTGCTGCTGTTGATACTGGAGATACGTTGGACGTTGCAGATTCTTGCGTTGCTGCTCTTGCTGCGCCTGCTGATGATGGTAATTGTCCACGTAGTTACGGTACTGGTGTGCCGGTACGAGTACACAGAGGGTGTACTGACGGTCCATGCCGGGTACACGGTGGACTGTGCGCACTCTCTGTGGCTACGCGACGATGCCTTTCTTCGTCTTCTTCAACCTCTTCTTCCTTCTCCTCCACTGCTTTTTCTTCTTCTTCCTCTGTTCTTCCTCTATTCCTCTTCCACCAGCTTTCTCTCTTTTTCTCTCCGCCTTCTCTCGTTTCGCCGTTTCTTCTCTTCCTCCTCTCGATCCCGTCTCGTGCCCTCCTGCGCTTGTATACTCTCCTATTTCCTCTTTTCTCCTCACCTCATCTTCGCGAAGGCCTCCTCGAGACTGGCCGGTGTACGGGGCCCGAAATTCCGATCCCCACCTCCGTGGGTCTCAATTTTTAAGGGATCCCACCTTTTTTCCTCTTTTTGCCTTCTCTTCCTTCGCTTCTTGCATCGTCCAGCCAGTTCTGCCTGCCCCCTCTTCGATGCCCCCACCTACCTCTCCTCCGACACCCCTTTTACCCCCACCGTTACAACTTCAAACGTGCACACAGCCTCTTTCCTCTCTTCAACGGGATGAAGCACGAACTGGCTCCACGAACTTCCCCCTCTTTATTTCCTTCTCTGCTTCTTCTTCTTCTTCTTTTCCTTTTCCTTTTCCTTCTTCATCATCATCATCATCTTCTTCTTCTTCTTCATCTTCTCCATCATCATCTTCTCTTCTCTCATTCCAGAGGCTCTCTCCACCGCGTATTTTTCATGCCGTCTCTCTCGTTTCTCGGCGCCCTCAAGCGCCTCTTTCTTATTCGGCGTAAAAAGACAGCCCTCGGCAGTTCCGATAGGATCGTCATAACCAGGACCCCGATAAACTCTGACTAGAATAGGTTGCTTTAAAATTTAACTAGCGCAAGATAATGTGTTAAAAGCAAATCAATTAAACCTATGTTACGATCTCTCCGAGACATTTTCAAGCGTAACCCTATCAGTTACTTAAATATGAAAATGCGTTTCAGAGAAGGAATACATGCAGCTCGCATGACTTGTCGTACTGACAAGTTTCAATTATGTATAAAAATATTAAAATATATATGAGTATGTGTATATTATTTATTCATTGCTATAAGCTTATTGCGCGGCAAATGTTATGATTTTGTGATGGATTAAGTAACTTATATGCCATCAATAATGACAAAGATGATAATGTCTCGCATCTCTTATCGTCTTTTACCGAAGCAGATAATTAATTAGTGATAAGATAAAGCCCTTCATCGCAGCGTACAAGAAATTTTTCTAGTGGTCATTGCGCACAGTGCGGAAATCTGCGTTTATTATCACTATTGTAGCTCTCGAGGGCGCTTATCTTTTTCAGGCCCGCGGAATGTCCGATCCAGAAGCACGGGGCGCCTGAGGGCGAATGTATGATCCTGCGCGATTGGTGGGGCGTAGCGTGCGCGCGGGTTAAGAGGACGGGTAGCAAGAAGGGGGGTTGGGGAAGGGAAGGGTAGCCAGGATTGCAGAGGTATCAGCGGAAGACGAGGACGAACGAAAGGCAGAACGGACGGAGGGGGCACGAGGAAGGGGATGCGATGGAAGGGCGAGGAAATAGAAGGAGGAGGAGGAGGAGGAGGAGGAGAAGAAGGAGGAGAAGATCCGGCGAGGTCACGGTACGACCCTGCTGAA